TATATATATATATATATATATATATATATATATGAATATATATGAGGACAGTGACTTTGAAATTGGCAAGATCTGTGATTCTGGTCTTTTCAGTTGTTTTACTTCAATGAAAGGTTAAATTTTGTGAACTTTTTGAAAGAAAGATCAAAAGGATAAACAATGCAGATTTATTTTTACAGCCTTCTTTGATTATATTGACCATGGGTGCCAATAATTCTGTCCAGGACTGTGCATCAAATTACAACATGATTAGTAGGCTTCTGTGTGAACACACAAACACCCTGTGCAACAACGATATATGAATAAACAATGGACCCATTTCACATTTTAGGGTTTGGAATGCAGAAGCTTAAATTTCTATAGATGTATATGGGTGACCATAGCAAATATAAGTTTTTGCATTTTCATTTGCTACAACAGTGTAATAATAATAATAAGTTAAGCTAAAGTTAATATATGAAGGTAATTCGTTAAATGAGGCGTTTGGAGATGAAATAATGCCCTGATCTCTTTGCTGTTCCACAGACAATACAGAATATCTGAACTGTTTGTGAGTACACTTTCCATTAGTGCCACTGTTGCAGTCAACAGTGATGAAACTGGCTATCCAATACTCAGCATGAATGAATGTTCAGCAAGAATTGGACCTTTTAAACTCCAGACTGAGAATGGGTATTATACACTATTATTATATTATACTGTATATACACTATTTTAAAGTGGCATAGTTACACATGTTACAAGTAGTACAACTGTAGTAATGACAGAAAATTATGCATAATTACAAACAACTAATCATAAACCAAACCCTAACAATTACCTTATAGTAAGTACATAGGTAATTAGTGTAACCAAAAATATATATATATGTAATAGGGTACAATGGGGCTAAAGGCCCACCTTAAGAAAAAAATTTGCTATTCACTGCGCCATAAAATGTATAATTGCAGAAAAAATATATATATATATAATCTGTTGGCTACTTTTTTCTGCAAATATTACATGAGGTCAGTTTGAGTTAAACATTAAGAGATAAATCCTAAAATGTTCTGGTTTGTGTCTGTATTAGTATTAGCTTACAGCTAATGTCTGTGCTCATGAGAACTAACATTTTGATTTTGTTACAATTTGATTTCTATATTGACAGATGGAGATTGATAAGATGGATTCTTAATAAAATTATGTACTTGCTTAATGGCATTGTGCGCAAATATTTGCAGAGAAAGGTAAGACATTCGCTGAACATTCCCTGTTTACAAAAGAAACCAATGCCAAGTATCCATCCTATGTCAATACAATTTGTTGTTTCAGATCTGCCCCTCGTTGAAAACGCCGCTTGATGATTTAAACACACAGCTGGCAACATTAAATGGTGCTATGATTAAACACTGTTAACCAGCGACTGCAATGAGTATGAAAATTCTTCCATGACAGCATTCATGACATCCAAAATCATGTGTTTTTTTTGTTGTGACCCTTAAGTTACAGCCAAAGTAAGTGAATATGTTGAGATTGACTACTCGCTGAGGTCTGCTGTCATCTCTGATACCAGCATTGAGATGGGATTAAAGGTACAATTGAAAAGGATTTAATTAAATCTAAAGCATCATGCAGAAATTGACACATTACTCTAACATACATTACAAATTCCTTGCCAAAATATATTTTTTTACAGCTGAATTTGGATGTTTGTCACAATTTTAGGGTGTATTCTACAACACTCAACAGCGCAAAGAACCCCGCTTCTCTCCCCCAGCTTTCTCGTTGGCTTCCCAGAACACCAAAATGTTCTACATTGCAGTATCTGCCTTCACCATCAACTCCGCATTCTTGGTGTTCCACAACACTAAAGTGTTTAACATCAGAATCACCGATGACATGGTGAGTTTAAGATGTTACAAGCTGTCAGTTTTTAAGAAGTGCAAGTATAGTCACTTTATTTAGAGATTGTATAAAGGAGTGACTGCATGGTCTGTTTTTGTTGCATGAATTACAGTTTAGATTACAAATGTAAAGGGCTGAATATGTATGTTTATATGAAGCCACCAAGGGCTTGCATAAGACTTGCACAATTATCATCATTTTACTGTGTGTAATCATCATTTTATCTTCTGTTTTTCATCTTGCTTTTACTTATTCATAAGTTGAGGACTATAACAGACACACTTTAACTGACACAAACAGTAACAGCTTTTTTTTTTTACATAGGTGCCTTCTGTTTCTCCAATTCGTCTCAGCACCACAACATTTGGAGCATTCATTCCTCAAGTATGAACATTTTTCCATTGTATTCAAATAATTCCACACAGAACACAAAATATAAACTTAACAGTGAAGATGACTAAGAGCTACTTGTTCATATTCTTTGCATGAAAGTAACAACGCACCAATTGCAATAACCTAATTTTTTTTTCTTTTTCTTTCTTTCAGATTTCTCAAACACACCCTGATCTGAAGTTGGAGCTGAAGGTAAAGACAGTGAAGGAGCCTATCATTAAATTTGAACCAAATCATGTGATTCTTCAGCTCCTGAGTACAGTGACAGCTTATGCTGTCCAATCTGACAACACACCGTCACCGACTCAACTCTTTGTCACTGAGGAGGGACAGTTGAGGGTTGATTCAGCTGAGGTGCATTTATACAGTTGAGGTCAAGTTTGCATACCCCATTTACACACACCCACTATATATATATATATATATATATATATTACAGTAATTTTGGAAAATTAGACAAATCATCGTTTTTATCTTCTTGGTTCTTAATATAGCGTGTTGTCTTATTGGGCATCAATGGACGTTTGCAGCCAATGAATGTTTGTAATAATCACATATTACTCCTTCAATTGTTATAAGTGTTAGAGCTGAATCTGAAAATCATATATAGCCACTGCTGGGAAGAATCAACTTTCTTATTAACTATGTAACGATTAACCGCGAGCCGGTTGAAAATCTTTGTTTACAGCGGAAACCAAGGAAACACTGTATCATTGCTGTTCATAAGCGCAGCGCTGCTTTGTTTACAGCGGTAACCCAGGAAACACTTTAAGCGCCACCTGCTGGCAGAGAGTACATCTGCGTCTCATTCAGCTCGTCTGCTGTTTCTGTTTCATGCAGATATTTTTATGTATAGTTTCACAAAACTGAAGTCAAGCCATTCTATTTTTGGTTCAAATTTCTAAATTATACAATGTAATTTAGATTAAAAACTGCTCATGTTGCATGTATGCAGCATCTTTGTTTGGATCAAGATTAAAATGCAGTGGTTGCCTCTAATTTGAATGTTAAGAGCACAGACAAAGCCTTGTTTTGTTTATATGAAGAAATTTGTTTTATTTGTGTTACTTATTTATTTGATTTGGGGCTTGTTTTAAAATTGTTTTGTTATTTACATTTACATTATATTTAAATGTTGTTATTTAGCAGACGCTTTTATCCAAAGCGATTAACAAATGAGGTCAATAGAAGCAATCAAAACCAACAAAAGAGCAATAATTTACAAGTGCTATATTAGTATATTATTATAGTGTTATATTTCAATTTCACAAAGAAA